GGATACATCAGCTGTTGGTCTGTGCTGATGATGTGAATCTACTGGGTGATAATGTAGATACCTAAAGAAAAACACATGAACTTTAATTGACGCAAGTAAAGAGGTTGGTTTAGAAGTAAACACAGAGAAAACTGTCTCATCACCAAAATGCAGGGCAAAATCATGACAAAGATACGAAACAGATGTTTTGAAAATGTGGCACAATTCAGTATTTGGGAACAACAATAACAGATCGAAACCTGATTCAGGAGGAAATTAAGAGGCGATTGAACTTGGGTAATGCTTGCTACCGTTCAGTCCAGAACGTTTTGTCTTCTCGTCTGTTGTCCAAAAACATAAAAATCAGAATATACAAAACTATAATTTTGCCCATGGTTCTGTATGGGTGTGAAACTTGGTCTCTGACATTAAGGGAGGAACATAGACTCAGGGTGTTGAGGAGAATATTGGGACCAAAGAGAGATGAAGTGACAGGGGGTTGGAGAAAACTGCATAATGAGCTTCATAACTTGTACTGTTCTCCAAGTATAATTAGAATGATCAAGTCAAGGCGGATGAGGTGGGCAGGGCATGTAGCACGAATTGGGGAGACGAGGAATGCATATAGGATATTGGTGGGAAAGCCAGAAGGAAAGATACCACTGGGAAGACCAAGGCGTAGGTGGGTGGACAATATTAAAATGGAACTTAGAGAGATAGGATGGTATGGATTGGATTGATCTGGCTTAGGATAGGAGCCAGTGGAGGGCTCTTGTGAATACGGTGATCAACCTTCGGGTTCCATAAAAGGCTGGAAAATTCTTGAGTAGCTGCAGAATTGGCGGCTCCTCAAGAAGGGCTCAGCTCCATGAATAAGTAAATTCGGGAAGAAAACTAATATGTTAATAAACTGGCGTGGTACCTATGGATTCGTATATTTACATTGAACTTTGATTTTAATTATTTCTCCTTTCCCTTATAGATTTTGCATTCCAGTTCCTCTTTCAGCAAAATTCAAGACCCGGTCTTTTAATTTTTGGGAATTACTTCAGCTTTCGGTGCGTCCGCATTCTTTGCTTTCGCAATCGATTCTTCAAATTTCATGCAAGAGAGACGTTGGCAAACCTGTATTAAATGCCGCTAAACATCGCTCAACAGAGCGCTGTTGCATGTTTTTTGCGAAATGGAAGGTGTTGAAGGAGGATAAGTTATTAGCCGTATAGAATACCATTTTAAATACATAGTATTCAGATGATTTCTGTGGATAATGTAGTTCAGACGAATGGAGAGGTATAGTATACGCATATGCTTATACTTTGACATAAGTTATTGTAAGGGAAGTTCGAGTAAAGATCTATTATTGAAGTAGTAAACTGCACATGTTTGAAGAAATGAGATGTACGTGTATAATGTAAATTGTTTTGTGGATATTTTGGGTAGTTTTATTTTAGTACAGTGTCTAAGGCATCTTAACACACATTATACCCCACATTTTCAGGGTGGGCAGGTGACTGGGATGGAGTTTCCGGAGATTCCCCAAGTGCAGGATAGTGAAGAGTGGACTTACACTATGCGTCGCACAATGCAGGAGATTGTACCGGGATTGTTTCTTGGACCGTATTCAGCAGCAATGAAATCAAAATTGGACCATCTAATGCATCATGGGATCACACACATTGTTTGTGTCAGACAGGATATAGAAGCACACTTCATTAGGCCAAACTTTCCAGAGAGATTCGAGTATTTGGTCCTAGATATAGCAGACAATGTTACGGAGAATATTATTCAGCATTTCCCAAAAGTTCGTCAGTTTGTTGATGAAAGCTTATCAAATGGTGGGAAGACTCTTATCCATGGGAATGCAGGAATTTCTCGAAGTGCAGCCCTAGTTTTAGCATACATTATGGAGAAGTATGGATTATCATGCAAGTAAGTGTTATTTTTATATTTGTGTGCGATTTCTTAACAGTGACAGAATATATTATTATTATTATTTAACTGCTAATGTGTTTTTGCACAGTGGCAGTGGTACTACAATAAGACAACAGACAAATAACACACATAAACATGTTCAGACAAAACACAGCACATAAACATTAGTAGAAAATTAACGTAATATATAATAAACTAACAGTAATGAATGTGTAATCTCATGTTCTCATTTTCCCTTCATTTTGCTCTACTACACTTATGTAATCCTCACATCCTTAACACTTTTCACTTCACTGCATTTTTTTTTGCTGATTTCCACCCCACCTTCACTGCGCCTCATTTATCACTTTCCTAACTCTTTTCCTAAAATTACTTGGTTTGCAGGAGATAGTCCCTAAAGCATCTGAAGGCAGTTGGTTCCAGATCTATATGGTCCTCTTTATAAAGGAGTATTTTCTGATATCTGTCCATTGCTTTCTGCTCCTAATTTTCTTGTCATGATTGCCGCTGCTCAGATAGCATGGCCTTTGTAATCTATCACCTATAGCCTTCCAAGCCCGTTCTCCCGTGTACGCTTTGAAGAGAGCGCATCTGCCTGCGCTTTGTCAAGGTTCCCCAGTTCAAATGGTTCCTATGATGTGCAAATTTAGCCGCTTTCTTTTGCACCCAGTCTGATGCATTTATCTGTCCCTCCCTGTAAGGATCCCAGCATGTTACTGTTTACATGAGTTTTCCTGAACCCTGCATTACCTATCTTTGCTGTGCAAGAAAACTTAATATGGTCTGGCAGGTAATTCTGTATGACATGTCAAGTCGACATAGCTGAAAACATTTGACCATGAGTTTCACATCCTTATTTCATTCTCTCTACCAACCACTGTATATTACCAGACCATGTTTTTTTTTGTGGATGACATAACTGGATGGCAGCAGTCCTCTCAAAGAGACCTCAAGAAACTGATGTAAACACTATTTCCATTGGTAATTCAGTCATGAAAAGAGGGATTTGTGAGAATGATTGTACAGTACTGGTGATTTGTATGAGTTCTTCTTGCAGGTATTCAGCTTGTTTTTATGCTTGTCACCAGGGGTTGAAATATTTTTGAAAACGTGAAAGCCAGACACATGTTCTGGTTGTTAAAAAGGCGGATTAGTATTCTTTGTGATTTACAGTGGCTCTCACCTCCAGTTAGTGCACACAGCATTCATTACCACTTGTTGCACCGTTTGTCCGAAACATCTGCAGGCCCAGCATAAGATCGTGGCAGAGAGAAAGAATTTAAGAAAAAGAGGGATTGTTACAACTCACCAGTCATGTTGATCTTAATGTCTTTGGATCTGGTTAGCCATTTGCCTGTGTCACAGGTGTCCAGGTGAGTTTGTTACAATTCTAGAAGCCAACATCCAGATGCCAGGTGGGAAATTAGTTGTCAGCCAAAATATTTTGTTCACTACTGATGGCCAGGTGATAGTGTTTTTGACTTCTGACATCTGTTTGCATTCTTTAGTTTAATCTTACTTTGCAAAGGATGGGATTGTGTGTAGAGACATTAATGTTGTGTCACATGTAGGGTGGTAATCACACCTAATACAATACTACTGCTGATTTATACAATTTACAGTTCACCGTTGTACACACACTAGGTTTCTCTGTCTGTTTACACTAGGATTCTCTGACTGTTTCCACTAGTCTCCACTATCTGTTTCTGGACAGTGTGTTTATAACACAGGAACCGTAAAGGTCTCACTAAATTACATACTTCCAGTATTGATGTACTACAGCACATGTAATGTTACGCACTCAGTCTTCTAATTCTTCTTCTGTCTACACTGCTGTTCCCTTGGAACTTTGGAACTCGGGTGAACTCCATCTGTTAGTCACTCCTCCAGCCTATGACTGCCCACAAATGATCTTTACTGTCCCCCACAGACCTTTGGCATGGACCTACAGAAAACATGTCACATGTCTCTATCCACTGTTGCATGACTGCACAGCCTGTGTGGAGGTGTGTTTGCCTAGCCATTGCCTAGAAACGGGTTGCCTAACCCTGCTATTCTATTGTTGCATGCGTGTAATGCAGGGTGTTTATTGAGCTGTTGCCTGGCAATGCGTTGACTTGTTACATTGCTCCCTCCTTAAGGCTTTTTGCCTTGAATAGCCTAACAATGTGTCACCTTTCCTTCCTTTCAGGGGACTGTGCTTTTAATGTCTTCCTGCACGTTCTTTTTTTCTCTCTGCAGTGGCTGCTATCTAACTGCTACCACTGCTCCCTCCTTAAAGCCAGCTTAACCCCAGCGGTTCCCTTATAAGGTTCCAGTTAGTCCAGGTTCTCACCATCATCCAAAGTTTTTTTTTTCTTTCCTCTTATGCACGGTGGGCCATAAGTCATAGAGTCTGGTGTTCCCACATCTCAGGCTCTGACTCCATGTGCAGCCTCTTTTTCTGATTTGGAGGGGGCTGACCCCTCCACAAGGTCCAGTTCCTCATTTTCTGCAACCCATTGGTCATCCTGGTTGCTTGTTTTGCAAACTCCAGTCTGAAAGCATTCCTGTTGAATTTGCTAGTTGTCCTCTCTCTTTCAAGCTGTAGCTGTTCATCGAAGTTTCATTTCCTGGTTCCATTGGTGCCTTCCTGGTTGCATCAGTTGTTTCCTTCTGAGTGTCCGTCCTTTCCGGGTTCCCCTTGCACATTTATTCTTTCGCTGTCCCTGTTCGACCAACGGTCATTCAATACTGTGTCCCTGAAGCCTGCATCTCTTGCGTGTGCCACTTCTCGAAAGTGGGTCATCTTCCTTCTGTGGTCCACAATATCCCTGGGTCAGAATTTTCCTGAAGATGTTTCTCTTGCGCCCTGCCACTGCTACACAACAGGACACCTTCCTGTAGGTGGCAACCAACTTTATCTGGGATACACAATTTCCTTGGGTCAGTTCCTTCGGCTCTCCACATTGCTCTGCAGCTAGATGCCAGCCCCTGTGCTGCTGCTTCATTATTCCTGAAGATTTGACTGCAGTCTCTTCCATAGGGACCTCATGGTGTTCCAGTTGGGATTCCATCTTTTCTGGATTTGGCACCATCTTCTGTGGATTGGCCTTTGTCACTTCTTGGCGAGCCATCCTTTCTTCTTGGTAGGCATTCATTTTTACTAGCATCATTTTCTGAGTGGCGCTTATCTTGGCCATAATTTACATTTTGTATTCCATTTTCTTAGTGTGGCGATATACCTTCTACTGCAGTCTTCAGTCCAATAATTTGGTCACTTTCATCCAATTACTTCTGACACCACTGCTGATGAATCCGATACGATCCAGACCTCCCACTATTGACACCAAAATGTCATGTGTAGGATGGTACGTGTGATGAAAATAATGGGTTCTAGTTCAGATGGTTGGATTTATTGACACTTCTGTTACAATTTATCACACTTAATACAGTGCTATTGCTGATTTACACAATTTAAAGTTCACTGTTGCGCACACACTAGGATTCTCCATCTATTTCCACTAGTCTTCACTATCTGTTTCCTGGCAGTGGATTTATAACACAGGAACTATAAAAGACCTGTTAAATTACACACTCCAAATATTGATGTACTACAGCACATGTAATGTCACACTAAGTCTTCTAATTCTTCTGGCCACATGGCTGTTCCCTTGGAACTTCAGAACCCAAGTGAAGTGCATCTATTTCTCACTCCTCCAGCTTATGACTGCCCCAAAACAACCTTGGCTGTCCCTCACAGACCTTTGGCACGGACCTACAGGAAACATGCCACATGGTCTCTATCCACTGTTGTGTGAATTCACTGCCTATGCAGCAGTGTGTTCACCAAGCCGTTGCCTAGAAACAGGTTGCATAACCCTGCTGTTCTGTTGTTGTATGCCTGTCATACAGGGTGTTTATCGAGGTGTTGCCTGGCAATGCGTTGACATGTCACAGTATTATAGTTTTAATTGAATTTTGGTGTCATACTGAAAATATTGTAGTCCCGTCAGAAGAGGTGGTCTTGCTGTTTTGGCAAGTAGGCGCAGCCTTAGGTTCCTGGTCTGCAGAGGATGATGTCCCTTGTTATCAGTCTTTTGCATCTTTTATCTGACTTCCTTACATAACCAGGTCATTTTTAATTCTTTGTATTTGTCACAGAAGTGTTAACAGTGACTGATTTTACCAGACTAAATGTGAATTCTATAAAGTAGTTAATGCCTCAGTGTAACATCAGGTTAACTGTTTCTTCACAGTGTATTAGGAGGAATTTAAATACAGTTTGGGCTCAAATTTGATGAAATTTTAATAGGTTATTTTTGTCCTACATTGATGTGGACTGCCCATGGACTGGGTGCTGGGATTCAGTTCTTTCCAGGTGCAAAACTGCTTTGGCGGGGGTCCTGCAGTGGTAAAGTGTGTGACACAAAGCTGATTGCTTACTGCTATTTAGTTTCAAGGTGTAGGACGTGAGGAACTTTCCATCCTGGCCTGTTGTGTGGCTGTTATGGAATGCAGTTACATCATAGTTTATTTTTTGACATTTATTTCTCAGGGATGCTTTCTCCATGGTTCAGCAGCGTAGATTTTGCATAAATCCAAATGAGGGATTCATGGCACAACTGACAGAGTTTGAACCTATTTACAAAGCGCAGCGGACATTGCAGAATGGGCAGTGCTCAACAGAGAAGGGACGGAACAAGCGGCGTATCGACCAGGTGGATGACCAGGTGTCAAATCTGGCAGACATTCTCCTGTCAAAGGCAATGGACCTGACTGGCAGTTGATATGCCACATCATGATACATATTCAGTTGACCAATCCTTCCAGTGATTCAAGTTTTTTGTATCCAAATCTGGGACATTTTTATTTATCAGTACTAGTGACAATGGCTGCAGGAAACATGTTCACACTAACTGCCCAGAGGTGCACCTTCATAAAAATTGTGCAGATGTTTTAGTAGATACTGTAGTACTGCTTCTTTGTATTTACTGGATACGTTGTGGGTACTTAAGAATGAAAGAAGACATGGAAAAGGGATTTTTAAACTTCAGAAATATCTCTGTAGATTTCATTCTTTGCCAAGAGAATGAATGTTATGATGTGAGACTTGGAGCCTGTCAGATCAGCAGGTAAGACCAGTTGTTAAGCAGGGGCATATAGTAAATGCAGTCGTGTTTGTTACGCGGCTAATATAGGCTTGGATATGAGAATAACAAGCCGACTGACTTATTCGCCCGGTGACGTTTGTGATCTCTATTATATGCAACTGAATAAAGTGACCAGGAAAAGTCCATGAATTTTAAGAAGTTTTAAATTTTTGTGTTCAGTATTTTAGTGCCAAATTGTTAGAATCTGATGGTAACATTGTTATTGTGAAGACTGTCCTGAATTTCAATTTATATCTTTTTGAATGTCACTCAGAGTGAAATATCATTGGATGCTTCAAGCATGTAAGTGGTCATATTTAACTGCCACATGTACTGGCTCTACATGGTATGACCATAAATTACAATGGATAGAGAATATTGGGATCAAACTAGAGCCACGGTTTGGATTGTGATTTGCACTGTTACAAGTCTAAAGGCTCAACTGATGTTCATACAGCCATAATGGCCAAACTTCTGAAGCTGTTGAAGAAATTAAGCTTTATAAATGTATCTCCTACAAATACCTACATGACAAGTTAGTGTGTATGGTTATGATTCTTCAGTAAGGACTGAAAAACGACGTGAAGTCTCTTCTTTAAGATAAAGACTGTAGCTCTTACAATCATGTAACATGGAGAACTGTCAAGTTCTGAGAAGTCTGATTGTTTTTTTTTTACTTAAAATCTGCTGTATCCAGCATTGGATTTTATAAAAAAAAAATAAAGTTGATATTTTCTAAATATGAAATTGTTTTTGTGTGCCTGTTCCCCTGTTTTATTGGATAAAACGTATGCCTGTCATAACATAGAATGCCAGGATGATTTTAAAAGCAAGGACAGTTGTAAGTAAATTCATGTTAAGTGGGTCTCTTCTCCTCACAGCATGGTATGTCCTCAGGTTGGGGATGAAGGAAATTGCCTCCAGATATTAAGGATAGCTGTGAATGTACTGAATAAGCAGTCTTGGACAGCATGCAGGATATGACCCTTCAGCTTGGAGGTTGACAGTGAGCGAGAAATTCCATGTTATATAGAACCAACTTGTTACAAAATGTTACACAGGGCCTTGGACTTGGACAGGTTCTTTGGAATGACCTGAGCAAATGAAGATGGACACAAGATTTGGCACATGGAGTGTAAGGAGTTCCTACAGGGCAAACAGTTGCGAGAGAATCAGCAAAGTACGTAGGTTGTACCGAAAGTCAACTTTTTTTTTAATGCAATCTGGGAACAGCAGACGAAAGAGAGTATGGTGGTAGGTGGAAGCAGCTGTTGTGTTAACCTTGAGTGTCTTTGTGACATCAATAGCTTGCATCATGTGACCAGTATCACTCCTAACAAAATGGCCAACAACGATCGCATTATGTTAGACACAAGATGACATTCAAATGTTCTTAATATCCAATCTTTCAGAGAGTAGTTTGCAGAAGTTAGGGAGAGACTGGCAATAGTAAAATGAACAAAGGCAAATATTTGATGAGTTAAATTTAATTTCAGTCAACCGAACAAGGTAGAAAGTAAAGAACAGTTTCAGTGTACAATTTCAAACAGGTTTGCAGCTTTGGAAAACTTACATGATGGGTATATCTTTAGTGTTCATGAAGCTATTAGAGCATAAGAATTGCAGCCAAAGAAAGTCTAGGCTATTATCCTTTAAGTGCCGAAGTGCCCAGTTTGTGCCAGTGGTGAGTAAGGTCGTCGTGGCCAAAGTACCCCGTTTTGTCCAGTCGGGCATTTAAACTTAGCTAGGGGAAGCGCGCGCACACGCCGCTAGTAGAAACGAATGCACAGTCCTAAATATTTATTTTTAAATGTAGTAATTACCAGACAGTCTTGAGTAAAGCCCTAATAGAAAAATTAAAACGATACCTAGGTGAACAACAACAAAAAAGAGTATACGTATGAGTTATACCCAAACTCATTCACGAGCTTGTACTTTTATTGCAGATTCTGCAGATTTATGTGTTAAAAATATTTAGTAAAATTCGATGTACAAGGTGTGGCAATAAAGAAACCGGATTACTTTTATGACTCATTTCCGGCCACGTCATTGACGAAGAGGAGGGTAGAGCATTGACCCTTGGACTTCCCTCTACCGTCACACAAAGTTTCATTCACGTGCATCGGTTAGTCTGGCCGCGACCATTGTTAGAAGCGGATCGTGTTTCTGAGCTCCGTCGGAATAATGCTGAGTGCTAATGCAGAACAACGTGCTAACATCAAATTCCTCACAAAACTTGGAAAATCTGCCACTGAAACTTACAATTTGTTGACAGAAGTATATGGTGATCAGTGTCTATCTCGCACGCAAGTTTTCGAGTGGTTTAAGAAGTTTATGGAGGGTAGGAAAAACGTCGGGAACGATCCAAAATCGG